CTCGCTTCCGGTCAAATAAGTCAACAGGATCACAATGTACAGGACTGAAAACCCCAATCTACAGAGATCAGTGTTTATCCTGAGATAAAACCTAAAAAGGTTGAAAAAGTTAGGACAGATGGTCGGAGAATACGGTATGCTCCGTCTGGTCCGATGCGTCGAGGTTTCTACGGAGGTGTGACATGGAGTGATAAAATACCATCGATTAATTGTTTCAAGATGGGATGAACTTTGGAGAATTTCACAAACGGCCAGTTTGTAGTTAAGTTATCATTTTAAGTGGAACTTAACGCCACGAAAAGTAAAAGGTGATTAAGAAATAAGGACTTTGAATGAATATGGGAACCGCGGTAGAATACTAGAATACTAGATTGCGAACACTCCATTGCGAACCAAGATAGTATTTCGATCAACTAGTGTGATGAGTGATTACGAATTTTCGACTGTTCGTAACTCGCCTTCTGTTTTTCCCACGCGTTTCAAAGTAGGTATTGCTGAGCGAACCAAATCCCTTTTGCTCTGATTTAAGATCATTCACTGCCGGTGACCTCTCACAGATATCGATCCAATCCAGTGTAAGATTAAAGTATGGTAAATTTACTAAATTTTTAAATAGTCTCTCGCACTCTTACTTTACTACAGACTCTCATAGTGCTGCGTGAAAATTATTGATTGACGGCGGTTCTGTCACATACCATGGTTCCCACAGACACCGATTTTAACTGGTCTAGTCACAAGCATAAATGTGCTGGTAAACTACGGTGTCTGTTAATACGGTGTCGAACTCCTGCACATTTTGGCACTCTCCAATCAGCTATTTTTTACCATTGTACAGCAGGGTGCTTTCCCTATCTTTGTTTATCGCCCTCTAGTTTTCTCCTCGGCTTATTTAACTGAAAGTCTTATGCCACAATCTAATCACTAGTAGTCGCGTTTCCTTCATTTTTCTAAATCAGTACATTAGGAGACTATCTGATTATCACGTAGCTTCTTGCATTCGCCCTTTTCACAAAGAATTTTCAACCCGTGAACACCTCGTGCGACCTGAGTTGACATGTTTTCGTTTCATTCCCTCTCCACGCGCTGCGGAGTCTCACATTTTCCATCTCATTCAAAAACGTGTACGGGGACACCCCTGTTAGAGGGGATAGAAAGTGAATACTGTCTCAAGTTTGAACATTAAGTCACTTTTTGTTATCTATGAATCATTTTCTTTGTTTTCGTGTGTATTGTATTGAATGTTACAGTGAGTTAATGAAGCTTTTTTTACTTAACTGTAGGCTTTTGTGCTTGTACAAATTATGCAATACAATACAAGCGATTTGTGTACAAAAAACCACGAATTTCCGTGAAAAGCATCGTGGCGTTTGCGTGCTTCGGACCATCAACAAATAACCTCATTGCGGTTACTCTATTATTTTATACGCAGCGCCCGACTGTTTAGAAGTTGAAGACGCAGCCTCAGAGAAGACATATCATAGTATACTTCACACACGTCTGCGGTCTAACAGTGAGTAAAACAAATCAGGGTACAAGAATCTTCTCAAAAAGAAAAAAATCCTCATAATTCCAAGTTTCCCGCCCATTAATTCATTATTGAAACCGATTTATTGTTAGACAGAAGATAATCAGCTGAAGAGAGGAGGAGTTGGAGTATCGGTATGATCTAAAAAATGCATCCGTGAGGATTTCTCGACTTTTGAATCAGGCTCAGAAAAACATCAGTCGATTTCTCATTTCTGTGTTGGCAGACATTTCTGCCACCAATCAGACAGTCGGCCCCTGGCTGTGCTGTCTCATGCTCATTTCAATCTGCGGATTGCATCTGTCGTCTGTTTGAGATCTGTCATCATGGGTTCTATCTACTCTCACTGTCCAAATAGTCTGGTCGGCATTTGGGTACCTCAGTTCCGATGTGAACTGCCAATCATGTGCATATGGTAACCTCAGATGGTTAGTTCAACCCGCTTTTCATCAGACTCCACTATTTCAAAAGTGTAGTCTATCGTCCTTAGCATGGACGTCTTGTGCACACAAACTACTTTGGTCAAACAACCAAGTATAACCTCAAAAGGTCGTCGACTGCGAATATCGCTATCAGCATCAGTAACAGTTCGTCGTTTGTCGTCTAGTGTTGGGGGTACCACACACAAACACACGGAGAGAATGTGCAGTATTTGTGTCCATTACTACGATTGTCTTAAAGATCACCTTTTGTCATCATTTCCGGGAATGGCAAAGCGACAGTTCGGAATTACTGCACAACCGACGATTGATTTTCAGTCACTGCATAGTGACGGACACCTTTAACGCTGAAGATAGGTGAGCATCAATTTCGCTAACCCCAAATTCATCCATTAGAGAAAACACCATTACTGGTACACTAAAACTTCAACGAAGCAGGCTCTTTCAACAAACGAAGTCGAGTGGTTTGAAAATAAGTCTGTCTATAGTCTCCCCCGATACTTAAAAGAATTATAAACTTAGAAATTAGAAATCGTCTCGTAAGCATTCAGTGACAGTTATTATTGGTATGGATTTATCACAGCTGGCTGATGTGGGAAAAATGTAAACGGTCACTAAAGCGTTCTCTAGAATTTAAACTATTCCAAATAACAGTTGCAATCGGTACTTCAGAAACGGAAAACTATCCGCATACAACGCAGAGATCGAACAAGACAAAAAGCACCAAGACTCACCGATGTGTTTCCTTCGTTCAAGTGAATCTGGCCCATTGTGACAAACGCGGATGCGGACAGCCGATGCAGTTCTTCTTCCTTCCCTAATCGGACAGTTTCACGCAGATGAGCCTTCGCATCCGATAGGCGATTCTCGTAGAACGCTTGGAATGCACGCACATAAGATGCGGCGGCTCGAAGACAATAACAGCCATCCAGGATGTGAATACCAGAAGTGAACACTTCGTTTAGTAAGGCCTATGGAAAAGATAGTAAGTGTAAGGCATATAAATCACTGCAAAATTACCTTGAGAAACCGGGGGTTAGTAAGGAGAGAGACTGGTGGATGGACCACAATTATTATGAACATGGGCGCCTAATTCATATGATTTGAGTCCAAACGGGGAGAACCGTAGAAAAAAACTCATGTACATGGCAATTAAAACGTAAACTTTACCAAAGAAGTCCATTGTATTGCCAATGATGCAACACCAGATGTAAAAATAACTGGACTATCTGAACTTCGCATCTAACAACTGAAATTGAACGGTAGATAAATTCACTCCCCTTCTTGAAGCGTAGACATATAAGAAGCTTGCTACTGCAATTCACCCCAAATGGTGCTCTTACCGATCCATGCAACGTGAGTCGAGGTCATTTGTGCCCAACAGATCTTCGTACAAAGCCCGTTATATTCTGACTTCTGAAATCGCCTTACTCGTAGCATACATGTGCGCAAGGCGTATCCGGAGGCCTCTATCGGGAAAGCCGAAATATAAGCTGAAGCACTTGGGTAAGCACCTACTCCAGATCACCTAGTTAATTCGAACAAAAAAGAATCCGTTTGCGGCTATATTTGTTAGTTTTCAAGTGAATCGTCAAAAACGCCGAAGATTCGGAAATTCATTTCCCTGTCACCCACTAAGCTTCTCAGGCTTCTAAATATCTCGCAGTAGTAACTGTGGCGAATCCAATTATAGACAAGCGAAGAAGACTGCTAAACTGTGTCTCTTGTAATGGGCCGCTTTGTGTGGATGGACGACTTGCGCATTTTTCCCAGGCCTGCTAGAAAATTACTTCAAGCTAGTCCGTAGCGGCCTAGCTATTATGAGTCGCGTTTCCGTAATTTCGTTTGATGTTTATCGTATCAGATCCAAATTTGGAGCGGGCTTCATTGAGGAGACTGCGCGTCGTGCCTAAAGTATTAGATTCGTAAAGGAACGTTTGGATTATCCACAGCGAGAGAAAACCAAAAACAACACCTTTTGGCTACGACGTTTTCTTCAGTTTGTTCTTTATACGACTCATATTACATATCCGATAGAGTTATCTCCGTCTCAACTCACTCCCTGTGTATGCTCTTATGCAAAGGCTTAATCGGCTTATCGACTTTTGCCTTCCCATGGATCTTTGTAAAAATGTATCCTATTGTTCCTCGTTTACAGTGAATTATTATCAATAGGAATAAAGTTCAGAGGGAAATTCCAAGGAATCTTGGCATGTAAGTTTAGTAGAGTGGTTCTACTTTTCATTCTGATTGCCATGTGCTGTTCTCTGTGACAACTGAAAAGCTCTATATGGTACACTGTTGCAAGTATGTGCCTAAATTTCAGCCGTAGATGTACACGAATTGTCTCATAGAATGCTTGTAGAAATATGAAGAAAAAAGAGTTGAAATTTTAAAGAAAATCACAGGTAATGAGCTGTCTGTCGATTAATATTTGTGGCAAATGTGGAACTGTTGAACATCTGTAACCGTTTATGCGCTCTGGGATATGATAGGATTGTGACAGTGTGGATAGATGGAAGGGAAAGGAAGTTAACTCCGCATGTAAAAAAACGCAGATTCGTTGATAACTACATTATATGTTATTTTCTAAATAGACACTTAATCGTTTTTTCGCCGAAAAACGATTCGACTGTGTGAATATCCTATGGGAACAAGAGAAGCACAAGCTTGTAATAAAACTTTGACTTTGGTGGGACCTAAAAGGATTTTGTATGCAAATAAGGTGTAGCTCGCCAATTTCGGTAGTCAGTCGTTTTTTATAGCAAACCTAAAATGCAGGATTGATAATGAGTGACCAGGACCTTGATATTCTGGAATTTTTTAAACAGACCCGAAAACACAGTGGAAGAGTGAAAGATTAAGGCCAGAAATCAGCGGTGAAAAACAAAAAATAAAAATTGTGGAACGTGGAACCCTAAAATCTTCTAAATTTGTTGATATTGTAGTATCGTCGGTGTAGTTTTCTAACGTAAGATAAGACGTGAGAGGACTAGCGAAGATCTGTCAGTGGTGAGTCCAACGTATTTATTTATTTAACCAATCTTACGGATGCGTATGTGTTCAAGATGGTCAAAACAGTAGAACGTTGTCTAAGTATCCCCAACACTGGAAGTCGCGCAGAAAAGTAACGGACAATGGACGTTTTCGAAATGCACAGCACATACCTCATAGCACAAATGGATGGATGGGTGGATGAATCAGTTCAGGTTATCTGGCAAGAAAAGCTAGCGCAGCATTCCGGACGTTGTGGGCGAATACTGGAAATAAAATAGACGATTCGGCAGATTGACCAGAAAGGCTATTTACAGCACTAACGGTGGATGAGGTTTTTTAGCGACCGCGAACTTGATCGTCTTCAAATGATACTCAAAGAATTTTTATTTCTAAAAATACAATAGATATCCCTTCCTACTTTTATGATATTTTGACATATGATGTTATTCTTATACCGAGAACTTTTACAACTGATAGATTTATTCCAGAATGATATTACTTGTAAATTTACAGTCAGTCAACTCACTTAATGAGCATCGAGGTCTTGATTCGGCAGCGCACAAATTCACAATTACGTTGAGCAAAAACAGTTATTGACGTCAACTATGCATCCCCGTTAACGGTTAAAAAATTAAACGATCTCTTAAATAAGACCAGAGGAAAATCGCCCAGTTCGTTCACTAAGTGTGGGTGACTCCAGTTGTGAGAAATGTACATGGCGAAAGTCACACACTTCCATTTGTTCATCCCCTGATGCCCAGAATGATGATGCAGTGACAACAACGGTAGCCTCGATATGCAAACCAAGCAAACTCTGTTCTGCATACTCATGTGAAATTCCAAATGGTGCGCGCAAAAACATGCATGTTTGACCGCCATATTAGTTTGTTTATGTGTGTACTCTAAAGGAAGCAAAGACAGCAAAGAAATGGTCACAAACTCAAGGACAGGATGAAAGAAGAGGCCGATAAGTGCTAAACCACATGCTGAGTGGACCAACACTGGTGTCTGCTGACTCATTTGCAGTATCAGTGCGAGCGAAAAGTGGGGTGGGGGTGGCGCAGTGCGAACAACGATGCAGTTTTCTACTGGATTGTTGACGTTTGTCATCAAAATGGCACTAGAGACAGAAAGTGAGAATGTGAAGCGCTTGAACTACTGTCTGCTTCTCCTGGTCAAGTGCCTTGCATGTATGTGTTTGTAAGTGAGACATTCATACTCGTGGTCGACCGGCCTAAATGTTGCTTCCCGTGATTCACCGCCCCCACATATTCCGAAGAGTTAAAGTTTCTTTTCGTAAACCGAAGGTGATTCTAGAAACTGCATGCTTTCGGAGGACATGGGCGCTCGCATTAGTGAAACACTGTGACCCATCAGGAAAGTTGGGGCTTTTAAAATTCATGAAAAAATGGTAAACCCAAACATGGATTAAGGGTAACCAAACACGAAGGGTAAATGACCCTGAAGGATAGCTGTTGCACAAGACAAAAGTTTAGAATTTTCAAAAGCACTTCCGCATTCATCTGGGTTAACACTGAAGGCGCAATCTTATAGGTACTACTCATTAAAAGGCATGAATGATCTCTTCTTGCAAACCTGTGTTCATTTAAACAAGTACCTCACACATTTGATGAATTAAAACAAAAAACCGACACTGAGAAGGGCTATTTTTCAAATGTCAATAAACCCATACGGCTCTTTGGTAGAACTGTAATGTGGCGAGAAAGTGTCTTTTTAGCACTTCATCTACCATTCAAGTATAGCACAATAAATAGCTCAAAGAACACTGCATGGAGCAAGGAAAGCTGATTTACGTGCTATTTAAGCAGTGTATTAAAAGAAGGTGAAATGGATAGTTGCGCTGCGGATGCTCTGACACTACTTACACCAATCGTGACAATTGTTTGCGGAATGTGAAGTTTCAAATGTAATGATATCGTAATAATATCAGCTTCACGCTAGAGTGATGAGGTCTGCTCACCGAAGGGTGCTTTGCATAGTTTACTACCATGTGGCGAAGAGGGGTGGCTAAGACAAAACAGACATACAGAGAAAAGAAATGAGAAGATATATCATACCACGGCTTTATTCCGAAGCTGTGTAAACGAAGCCTAATTCAAAGCGGCTGCAATCAAGCAAGAAGGCTATGTTCTGTCCACATCAAACTTTCCAAGTGCCGCGCTTTGTAATATCGACATCCATAAGACTGCTGCATGAGAGTCAAGTCCAAATTTCTTTCATGCGTAAATTACGAAGCTAAAGCTTATCCAATCCTACTGAATCGTTCGGATGGCTATGGAAATAAAATAATCAATAACCAAGTTCAAACACGGGAGTTGAATAGCTGGATGTTTCATTGCTTCATCGGGCGGCAACGTGAATTAATCGATATCAGGGGCACAAAATGCCTGAGATGGAATGGTGTTCCAGGTTGTTCATACTTTGATACTGACAATCCAGCCGACTCTTCTGGAACACTAGTCTAAAAGGTAACCCCGAAGGTAAGCAGTTCTGGATGACATCAGCAAAATACCCCATGGGCGATTGGGTTGATGCACTGTTTGACACACTAGGATCATGACTCCTAGAATTCAGCGGTGTTCAGATGAGTAATAGTGCTTGAAACCTCTCAAAATTTATCTTGAATTGTTACCCTTTGCTCATTTTGGTTGCCGTTCCCTATGCACTTGCGGGTGTTGTTGTCACAAATTAGCCATGCATTCCAAACGTGGATGACATACCGTGTATGGGGCGGACGGTATGGGGATGGAAAAGACTACAGCAGATGTGGAAATGAGATCCGACTTTGCCACCGACAGAAAAAGCTTCATAAAACTGTATTTTGAAGAGCGTCTGGCCTACCTCAGGGCTGCTAACTAATAATTCATTTTCTGATAGCATACACACACACATACATACATACATACATACATACATACATACATACGCGCGTAAGCAAGAACTTTGGATTTCAAATAAATTTGCAATCCATGGTATTTGATACCTTCGTTCGTCGTCTTGAACGAGTTTTACACAAAGGTCGCTCGACACGATGCAGTTATTCCAAGTGCCAGCAGTCACACATCTGCGCAATTCCGGCATGGTTGTTATCTACAACAGATGCGATAGCAATCAGATTAGCTACCACCCTCTTCCTCCTCACCCAATCATCCGAACCATAGCACACACAAAAACAGATCGTAAGTACTCTTATCCGCCTCTGACCACGTGCCTAAATTGGCCCCATCAAATACTCCGGTTCAAAATTCATGCTGCACAAGTAATTGCCATTAATTATGAGCTACTTTTTTTCTATTCTACCAAATAATTATCGCTAGCGTGTAGCGCAATATGGTGACAATAAGTTGATCGCTGACCGTCTGTTGAAACTAGAACCCTACGACCGTGCTTTCAGAGTATGGCACGAAAATCAGTGACCCGTTTGGCGTGCACCAGATTCCGTTGATAAGGTTACTGGGATTGTCCAACAATTCAAAATGACCAGATGGTCAAGGTCGGAAAAGGATTAACGAAAAAAAGAAAAACAAGGTTACTACGCCTTGGTTGGACTTGTTCGTTTACAAAAACGTCCCCATGCCAACAACCAAGTGCATAAGAATGAGGTAGTCTGTAAGGGGAGACTAAAAAAATTTTGAGAGACCGTCGGTAGAGATGCACTAATGATGAACTTTCATTCGTTCGTTTTAAAAGTCCTGGCAATCCTGGGGTTACTGAGACAAACCGTAAGTAAGATTTCTGTAACCTACAACAATGTGATACGTAGCCGGATTGCATTACAGGGGAGTCGATCCCACATTTTTTTATACATGAGCGAATATTGTTACCCTGAGAAAAGCGAACACTAGTAGACAATCCAGTTAAACAAACTCAGGCATTATGTAGGTAGGAAAAACAACTTCCTCACAGTCGAGTGGCATGAATTGGATAACATCAAATCGCACAGCACCGTTTGTTTAGTTTGTTTGTTTGTTTGCTACCAGATATGCATCCGGAAAACAAATGCCTACTGCGCAGGAGGAAGGCAAAACACAAAAATCAAAAATACGAAGCAATTCAAGAAAGACGGTAATAGACCGCAGATCGTAGTGTCAGAGCACATCTCCAGAATATCGTGTGATAAAACAGCGTAGATAAACACGACCCCTCCGTCATCCACAATACTTACATGACGGATGGACTATCTTGATCTATCAATTACCTCCGCATTTAATAGTAATACAACTTGCCACAGAGTAAAACTGTTCATTTCATTTACGTGATGAGTAAAACAACATCACAGTCGGATATAGCATCGTTCACTAATCCATCTAGTGAAATTTGGAAAACGTTAGTTCATAATCAATTATAAAATAATTTCTGAACTAGCACCAGATCATCCTAGACGCCAGTTCTACTGGCTCCATAGGGCATTAACCGCATCAAAAAAATGTGAACTTTCAGCATCAATAAAATTAAATGAACAAGTAAAACGGAAATCACTCTCCCAACCCAACCCAAAGCAAACAGATTTGAGACAGTCAGTCGTTTAGTAACCCAGAGATACCGACTTGTCGTGATGTATACAGTTTCTACCTGGACTCAACAACCACACATTTCTGGTACGATAATCGAAAGATACATTACTCACACAAACAGATGACATTTAACTGAAGTTACCTCTGAAATCATCAAGGCCTGGGTCAACCACTGTTGACGAAATGAAACATTCCACCTGCTGAGTATAAACGATTCAGGAAAATCATGGCTATAAAGACTCACCAAGGCTTGTTTATTATTATTTGGAAACAAAATTTACATCAGTATAAATACTGTTGCCTATACGAACCCACAAGCGTTTCACAGGGACCCGTTGCTTCAGTTTCGATTAGACCTGTAAGCATACGTAATATACACAAATACCAATATAAACATGTTGCTTTGTGCAGAATGCACGCTAACTTTACGGTTTGGCACAAACTTATGGAATCGAAACTTTCAAAAGGCACATGATACTCTCACGTAACCAAATTTCGGTTCAAATTAACCAGGTTTGACAATGGATAATGTGATGATACCACAATTAACTGATTCCCCAGTCACGTGTTCGATTATAGGAGATCTTTTCTGGTTCGACAAAGATTACAGATGAAGCCAAGTTTGTAAGAAAACAAAAACTATATTCAGATGAAGACATAAAGTAGGTAGTAGCAGAGTGAGTGAGTAAAATGTGATTGTCCTCAATCTGATGGTACTACTCAAGATAAACCAAAAGCTTAGGAATCATAATATTCAAACCATACAAAATTTGACGCTGAACAATGAAATGATGGTCACGAAGAGCCGGTAACCTCAGTCCTGGGGTCTGGAGAGGTACATCAAATAGGAGCACATTAGGTTGGGTATGTTACTGAGCTGAATTATAACAACGTAGACGATCGCTGACCATGGCAATCATAACGAAAGTATTCACAACAAATCATCGGGTGAGAAGTAAACAGATTTCAAATAGTGAATTGGGCTGAAACAGAATCTCGCTTACAAAGATCTGTTTCAGACCATTGCAAAGAGTCTATTGCACTCATCAGTGGAAACGCTAAGAGCGAACAGAAAAACAGCCAGATGAACCAATAGATAAGAATGGTGCATAGTAGCTATGAGGTAAGCTACTAGTTTGTTTATAAAACAGGCTAGTTGATGAGTAATGCGCACGTTTGTATGTATCTAACCACATTCAGTTTCAGACGATCCTATCAGTCCTAGCTGCACATCAGATTGATGGATGAAGCACCGAAACAGACAGGGTTTTATACAACTATACTACACAAAAGCTGATAAGGAAAACATATCGGCACGGTTGCTGTTGAGTCAAGAGTTTAGCAGAGTCCTCTTAAGGTAGGTGTAAATGGAATATTTAAACAAAAAACTGTTTCAGGGATCTACAAACCGGATCGAAACGGTTGAAAATTTGGATGGGGTTCAAAAGGGAACCCCAAAGAGTTGCACTCAATCTGTAACGAATGATCCAAGAGGCAAAGGTCTAGGGGAAAATCAAGGAAACAAGGAGTTCAAATCGTGCTCTCAAGACCGGGATGATGTCTTAAAAAAGACTAATTGTAGATTTCTATCACAGCGACAATATGCAAGAAACATTTCACCTCGAATGGATCCACAGATTCATTTAGGTAAAAGTTAAGATAATCACTTCAGTTCAGTTTAGTTTGTACAACCCTTATCATTGCACCTACGTGCGCCGGTTTTGGTTGCTGTCTTTCGGCTGGTTATCATCTTTCATAATTTGTTATCAACTCTAAATTTTATTTTGGCATGTGATTTGAAAGTGGATCAGTTGAAAGGATCAGCTCCACGAACTATCATATTGTTGTCATGATAGATACATAGTATGTATTTCACACCAAACATTTCGGCTCTGACTTTTTTATTGTTGTACGAAGGATAAGTTTTACCCATTTTTGAATAAAAACTGCCACTTATGGAGAAGTAAGTCATCCACCTGCTCCTCTCATTGAATCGGATTCTAAATAAGAGACCACACCTTATGAAGGGATCATACTTCGGCTCCAGTTTGAGGTCACCAGCTCCTACACAAACAATCACTGAACCGACCCTCAAAGTCTTTGCTATTTTGTTTCAGTTCGTACGAATTTGTTTCATCTGTTCCAATGGCTAGATGCTTTTTCACCGATCAATGGCGTTAACTGCGAATCAATGCAAACAGATTTCTATCCGCAGGATCTATATGTCTGGTGTTCAATGCTATTTAGCCATTGAAACAGCTGAGAAATGAAACTTCTAACCATTCTTGTGTTTGTCTTTTTTATTACACACACTTGTGTGATGAACAGCAGACGGGCTGGACCCCATAATCACGAAGAACTGCTGTTTGGCGATGGCAACCGGTAAATGGTGGTGGTGAGAGCTCATAGAGTTTAAAACACGCGACAGCGACTCAACCACTACGCCACCACCACCTGATTCATGAAATGGGTTACGTGTTAGTTTTTCCCCCAACAACGTTCTTTGTACCCTTTTCTTGAAAATTACGGGGTCCCAATCATTAGCTGGAGTTCACATTTTGAACATAAAAACGGGAATTTTATGTTTTGCGTACCCATAACAGACTTGGGATAGTCTGAAACATGAAACAGTCAACTTTACGAACGAAGCTACAAATGCCAAATGATGACCTAAATAGGGGAGTGAAAGACTGGAAATTCAAGCAGACATTTCTTTAACTGGTGTACATAAGTGAACATTGATGGGATGTATTCTTCGTGTTATGCGGGAGACAGGTTTTCAGAATGCCGCAGCGTTGGCATAACTTTGAAATGAGCCGGGAGGAAAGCATTGATTTCATAGTCCATGACTGCGCAAAACTGATCATTAGTAACGCCTAGCAATCATAGGCGTGGTTAACATGCATAAGTGGCAGTGTATGCTTACCTCACACTCAGTCGTATTTCCCTTTCGGATGTGTACCAAGGCCAGATTGAGACATATCAATACAGACAGCGTATCTCGGGGTCCATCAGGCTGACAGGAAGCACGATTCGTCATAGGTAGGCTCAGAACATTTGTGGCCCCACCAGGGAGTTCGGTCAGTCCAGTTCGAGGACCGGCAATCAACTGGAGGATATAACATGGAAATGGAGGGATATATACACCTAAGCGCTTACCAAGAGAGTTAGCCAGTGTGCAAAAAGAAAGAAACCGAAGATCTACAGATCGTAAAAAGCAATATTTTACATGCGTTCGAAAACAACCGAGAAACAAAAAGCGAGGGTTTGTGATTACGATGTCCAATGACAACTTTTTGTCTGAAAGACCCGTTGTGGCATTGCATTGTATTCTGTTATAAGGACTTATACAGGCACCTATGTCATCATTTCAATAAGAAGCGCATGTTGACTGTTATACGGGGATTAGAAAATGATGAAATTATTATAAGCAATACGCAGAGAAACGGAGTAATAAATTCGATTGCGGTTATTGCATCTTTCAGTCCACTTCGAATAATGTAATAGGAAATAGGTATTTCATGCCTATTGAATTTTTTTAGCCAGACGTGGGTTTTCTGCACCTGATTGGTGTATCTCTCTCTCAGTTGAGAACTGAAATGTTCGGGTCTAAGTCACATGGTACATGTCCAGTAACGTGGACACGCAAGTTGTATTTATTCCGAGTACGTAAAATTTAGCACTTGGTTCGAATGGACAAACACTGGAGAGCTAACTCATGATATCTACCTATCCTAATTCCTTGAGAAAGGTGGTACATAAGAAGGTTGTTGTCACTTTGTTTACTTGGCCAGTCATTCCAAACGGCTTCTGATCTCCAGTGACTCACGGTAATCCAAAACTGCTGTTGTATGGCCCAGAAGTTCAGCGATCTTCAAACCAGTGCACACCGCGAGTTTTTGTTGTACACCAGAAGTATAATACGGGGACAAGATATCGATAGCCTGCTAACCTGAAACATAGGCCCCGTTAGACTCGCTGGCTAGGGACTTCGGGATGATGGTCACCGATGGTTAGTTACACTGAGTGATATGGTTGGATATCGCAAACAGTGGCGTTCAGGCATCCACTCTTTATTCCCCTAACACCATTCTATATGAATTCTCCATCTTCCGCTTGAATTTGCTTTCAACATTCCAATCTTCAGTCTGCTCTTTATCCAAATGGGCGGCCAAAAGACAGCAACCAAAACCGGCGCACGAAAGTGCATGTTTAGTGGTTGTAAAAACTAAACTGAACTGAACCTGAAACCGAACACGTTGATTCAGAAAAGACTCGAATCTCTACGTGGCTAAGTATTCGTCTATTGTTACAGGGGGGGATGGGGCAGCAGAACAGATGATGTTACATTTGTCTCGTCCAGCCAGAGCGAGTAAGCGCACCATAATTAACCGAAGAAACCACCTAAATCATTTCATACAGAACAACTATTGCCAGCAGAAAACACATAAGTCACTATGATATCTTTCTTTTCTGAGCAATATTCGGCAAACCAATCGCGATTTTCGATTAAACGAAATGCGATGGGATGCGAAACAATCTGAATCTAAATTTCGACCACATTGGTGCTCTATATCTTACTTGAAAAACGAATAATAGCTGGTATCGGGAATATTTAAAATGGTGGCAGATTTCAACTTCGCTGAACTTATCAGCACGATCATACGGCACCGGGTCCACGGTAAGTGACAGAACATTGAAAAACCTTACGTTAACTTTGTGAGACTAATGAAGCGCTACATGTGCGATGGTGTCTGTTCAACTATCCGATTGCTTAATCAATAACCTATAACCGAATTCATTCCGAAAAAAGCAGCAAAGAGTTGTGCGGGTTGTGAAAAATACAGTGCAAGGTGTTCACCACCAGATGGATTAATCAGATCGACCCACGATGGCAAAAAATTTCGGGATATACGTTTTAGGACGATTGGGTACAGGGCTTCTTCACTTATATTTTTATTTTTCACACCGTGTTGCTCCACTATCCATAACTATCGCTTGCATGTGTCCTGGAAATCGCCGATAACTGTCACGATGATTGTGGATAGAAAACTGGTACAGGCAAACCTTAGGAGGTACATCAAATTAACGCAAGCATTTTAGATGTTTAGGGACTGGGTTGCAAAAAACCGTACCGATCGGCTTGATAGCTTAATCAACACTTGATACAGCCGTTCCAGTGTAATGAATCCACACTGTGTTCTCGTTCTACGCAGCAGACTGAACGGTAAATTAGCTCCGATTCCTAACATTCCGGCCGTGAATCTCAGTTGCATAAAAGTAAATTTATATAGATATGTGCATTTTCGGAAATAGTATTACGAAGATAGACTCTTCAAAACTGGAGAAATACGATGCACGGAGAGTTGTTTCAGTTTTCAGTTCAGTTTTTACAACCATTAACCATGCACTTTCGTGCGCTGGTTTTGGTTGCTGTCTTTGGTTGCCCATTTGGATAAAAGAGCGAAGTGAAGATCGGAATGTCGAAGCGAATTCAAGCGGAAGATGGGGAATACATATTGAATGGTGTTACGAAAATAACGAGTGGATGCACGAGCGCCACTGTTTGCGACACCCAGCCATATCACTCAGTGTAGCTAACCATCGGTGATCATCATCCCGAGGTCCCCAGCCAGGGAGCCTAACGGGGCCTATGTGACCTAGTCTCCCGGTTAGGGTTTTCATACCCTCATGCCAGGTCTTAGTTTGACTGCCCTTCGTTTTTTTCCAATCGCTACCAGCCTTGGCAAACATCGTTCGCCGTGGCAACCTATTTGGTCGCATGCGTAGTACATGTCCCAACCAGCGTAATCTACGGAGGTCGATCACTTGCTCTAGTGGACGACCGCGAATGCCTAAAACT